CTAATCAGTTCATTCAGTTGCTCATCAGAAAGTTGCGATAAATCTGCAATACTTATAGAAATCGATAAATCGATCGAGCACCGTAGTAAGTGTATTTACCTGGATTTTCCTCGCGCACGATTCGCTCAATGTAGTCTTCAACCTCTGGATCGCCGTTCTCGTCCTGCCCGCTCAACTCTAAAAATAATTGCTCAACGGGATCGTGAAAGAATACGGTGTCACTAATATCGCTAATATCAATAAATATCAATCATAACAGAAAAGTATTATTTAGGATCTATCATCGGATATCCTTCTACAATAAGTAGCAAGACAAATACAAAGATATTTCCGATAAGTAAGAGAAAAGAAAAGGAAGGAAAAACAATTAAATAAGGGGCCATGAGGGAAGTGGGTGGACAGTTAGCGCAGAAGCGCAGTGGCCTCAAACACTGCGAGCTCCTGAATGGCGAATGACAGCTCCGGATAACAGCTTAGTACGAACTGTCAAGCACAATTTTCAACCGAAAAGCGGTCCCTTAGCGATCCTACTTACTATAAAGCGCTTCGTCTGTCGTCTGTCGTCTGTCGTTCTGTATGTCTGTCACGAAATTCCCTAGCTCCTCGGGATCCGCCTGGAGGGACCGGGTCAAGTGTGGGATGGGTGGGCAAGGTCTCACGTAATACAAAACACACATCAGCTAAGCGGAGCCCCGCCCACAGAGGGCGTGGCGTGCGTCGAAATGAATTGTACCAAAGACCAAGATTTCGATTTCAGTGACAAAACGACCTCGAAACTGGGCCAAAAAGTGGGCTAAGGTGTGCATTGGTAAGTCACATCGAATTAGGGAGACCCACCCCCGGTGGGCGGGGCGTTCTCTAAAAAAGCAGTGCTTTATGAAAAATTTCATAACTCGGTTGGGAGAAAGCCTACAGAGCAGAAAAAATTTGGTGTAAGGGAGCAATGTCTAAGGTGTTTCCTGCATACATGACGTGGGCGGAGGCCGCCCAGAATGGGCGGGGCGCGCTCTGAAGTGTACAGCATTTTCTACAAGCCCTCATAATTCGGGTCGGGGAAGTCCTAAAGAGCCGGAAAAAGGTGGATAGAGGTGTATGGAGGAGTGGAGGCCAGCTGTCAATGGTGGGCGGGGCTTGACCAAAGTGGGCGGAGTTTGCGACGAAAATTCATAACTCGGCTCCATGAAGCTCCGGAGGCTGGGGAAAAGGTGGATAGAGGTGGGTGGAGGAGTGGAGGTTAACTGTCATTGGTGGGCGGGGCCTGACCAAAGTGGGCGGAGTTTGCGACGAAAATTTATAACTCGGCTCCATGAAGCTCCGGAGGCTGGGGAAAAGGTGGATAGAGGTGGGTGGAGGAGTGGAGGTTAATTGTCATTGGTGGGCGGGGCCTGACCAAAGTGGGCGGAGTTTGCGAAATCTACTAACTATAAAGCGCTTCGTCTGTCGTCTGTCTGTCGTTCTGTATGTCTGTCACGAAATTCCCTAGCTCCTCGGGATCCGCCTGGAGGGACCGGGTCAAGTGTGGGATGGGTGGGCAAGGTCTCACGAAATACAAAACACACATCAGCTAAGCGGAGCCCCGCCCACAGAGGGCGTGGCGTGCGTCGAAATGAATTGTACCGAAGACCAAGATTTCGATTTCAGTGAAAACGACCTCGAAACTGGGCCAAAAAGTGGGTAAGGTGTGCATTGGTAAGTCACATCGAATTAGGGAGACCCACCCGGTGGGCGGGGCGTTCTCTAAAAAAGCAGTGCTTTATGAAAAATTTCATAACTCGGTTGGGAGAAAGCCTACAGAGCAGAAAACAATTGGTGTAAGGGAGCAATGTCTAAGGTGTTTCCTGCATACATGACGTGGGCGGAGGCCCGCCCAGAATGGGCGGGGCGCGCTCTGAAGTGTACAGCATTTTCTACAAGCCCTCATAATTCGGGTCGGGGAAGTCCTAAAGAGCCGGAAAAAGGTGGATAGAGGTGTATGGAGGAGTGGAGGCCAGCTATCATGGTGGGCGGGGCTTGACCAAAGTGGGCGGAGTTTGCGACGAAAATTTATAACTCGGCTCCATGAAGCTCCCGGAGGCTGGGGAAAAGGTGGATAGAGGTGGGTGGAGGAGTGGAGGTTAACTGTCATTGGTGGGCGGGGCCTGACCAAAGTGGGCGGAGTTTGCGACGAAAATTCATAACTCGGCTCCAAGAAGTCCCGGAGGCTGGGGAAAAGGTGGATAGAGGTGGGTGGAGGAGTGGAGGTTAACTGTCATTGGTGGGCGGGGCCTGACCAAAGTGGGCGGAGTTTGCGACGAAAATTTATAACTCGGCTCCATGAAGCTCCGGAGGCTGGGGAAAAGGTGGATAGAGGTGGGTGGAGGAGTGGAGGTTAATTGTCATTGGTGGGCGGGGCCTGACCAAAGTGGGCGGAGTTTGCGACGAAAATATAAAACTCGGCTCCAAGAAGTCCCGGAGGCTGGGGAAAAGGTGGATGGAGGTGGGTGGGGAAGTGGAGGCCAGCTGTCATCGGTGGGCGGAGCTTGACCAAAGTGGGTGGAGTTTGCGACGAAAATTCAGAACTCTGTTCCAGAAGGTCCGAAATTCATAACTCGGCTCCAAGAAGTCCAGGAGGCTGGGAAAAAGGGAGTAGAGGTCGGCGAAGGAAAGGAGGTCAAATGCTATTAGTGGGTAGAGCACGCACCTAAGTGGGCGGAGTTTGCCAAAAGTGTCGTAATTTGGTTCCAAGAGGTCCCAGAGACCGGTGAAAAAGGGGGTAGAGGTCGGCGAAAAGAAGGGAGCCAAATGCTATTGGTCGGCAGGGCACGCACCGAAGTAGACGGAGTTCGCCACGAGATTTATTGTCCGGGCCGAGGACCGAGAAAAATAGGATAATGGTTGACGAAGAAAGAGCGCATAGAATTTAGCGGAGAATTCAGATATTCGTATTGTATCAAGCCAAATTTGAAATTTTTCGTCGCACCATCAAAATTCGCCACAGATCTGTGTTGCGCGCGCAATGCGTGCGGCGCCAACTGGGTTTATGAAGACGGGGATACTGATGAGAGTGAACGGAGCGGCTCTTACCTTGATCAGGGCCAACATTATCGCCATCAGCGAGATTGTTCTTGAGGATGAAAAGTCGACTAATCAGTTCATTCAGTTGCTCATCAGAAAGTTGCGGATAAATCTGCAATACTATAGAAATCGATAAATCGATCGAGCACCGTAGTAAGTGTATTCTACCTGGATTTTCCTCGCGCACGATTCGCTCAATGTAGTCCTCAACCTCTGGATCGCCGTTCTCGTCCTGCCCGCTCAACTCTAAAAATAATTGCTCAACGGGATCGTGAAAGAATACGGTGTCACTAATATCGCTAATATCAATAAATATCAATCATAACAGAAAAGTATTATTTAGGATCTATCATCGGATATCCTTCTACAATAAGGTAGCAAGACAAATACAAACATAATTTCCGATAAGAAAGAGAAAAGAAAAGGAAGGAAAAACAATTAAATAAGGGCAGAAGCGCAGTGTCCTCGAACACTTGCGGGGTTCCTGAGTGGTCGAAATGACAGCCCGGATACCCACTTTTGTAGGTCCCCAAACTGTGGCAAAGATCCGACTCCAGAGCTCGAAAGAAAGACTGACCAACAGCAAAGCAAATCAGTCAACAATCATCAAAATTACCGCTAACGAAACAACCATTTAATACTGATACTGTACACGTATGTCTATTATGAAGGGCATTTTTAAAGGGGGCAGCACGAAAATAATAGAGCAAAAGTACGAAGATTAAATGAGATACTGTACGATATATATCACAATTTGAGATTGGCGCTATGTGCCTCGGGGGGGGGCAGTCACCGCGCGCGGCTGTGCGGCAACAGGAAATTCGAACATTCCAGCTTCTCACGCATGTCATGTGACTGCCCTCACCGTCATGTGACTGCCCTCACCCCCAACCCCCCTGAATTGGCTACACTCCCCCTGGCTCACGAATTTCCTGTTGCCGCAAGAGCGCGCGCGGCGAGTGGCCCCCCCCCCCCGGGGCCACTTGCCCCCGAGAGGCGGCCAATTAAATTATTAAGACATCGAAAGCTCTTTGCTTGCACATCGGGCCAACAATACCCTATTCAACAAGTAATTATAAATATCGGCAAGAAGATTAGGTTCCCATATGGGCTTTTGGTTAGTGTAAGGGGTTTTTCTGAGAGATCCGCGATAGAGCTTGCTTCAAGGTGAACATTACAAAAGTGTTAGTGTCAAAGCGTTTGTGTGAGTCTTCGATAATCCCTACCGAACTGGAGAGAATTTAGTGAATTTCAAAATTCGTTGACATCCGAGGTGAATAATTCAGACATTCATGACATCATTGCTTTTAAATTTCGGCGCCTGCGGTAAAAACCTGAAGCCAAATGGATGACGAGACCCTTCCCATCAACCACAAAAACTAAGCTGCAGATGCAGGGTGTGGGAATGCGGCAATTCTGCGAAATCTCTGAATCAACATTATCGAATACGAAGGTCGAATTTCCTTGTCGTGTGTAGAAGGTTTCATGGATGCGCTTGACGGCTAAGAATATTGAGTAGGGAAAGGTTTTGGAGGTTCGTCGCAGGACCCACTGGGCAACGGTCGCACCTTTGATTTTGCAGCTTTGTTTCCATTCTTTCATTGCTGTTTTTGGGATGAAGAAAGATATTTACGTGCGAATATACAATCAGAAACAGTAAAAGGGTGGAAACAAAGCTGCAAAATCAAAGGTGACCGCTGCAAAGTGGGTCCTGCGACGAACCTCCCCAACGTTCACCCATCCCCGTCCGGCCTTCGCAACACGCATATCGCCCAATCCTTCTATTTTATAAAGCGCTAACTTTGTGTGTCGGTTTGTGTATCTGTATGTGTGTGTGTGTGTGTATGTATATGTATGTGTGTCCGTCCGCAAAATGAAGTGAGTGAGAAGGAAGCTCATGGGATAAACAAACCGCTAACAAATCGGGTAGCTTACAGGATTTGAGATATCAATGTTTTGTAGCAGGATAGTTGTGATAACACTCTTAGGGCTATATAAACACCTGCTTAGCACACTTCCGTTCATTCCACATGGTGCTGCAGTGGCAGCTGGAGGGCAGTGGAGAGAGGAAGGGAAGCGAAAAATCTACCGTCATATCATGATTGTGTCCCTTCTACTGTATGAAACACCATTGTGTTGCATACGCGTCACTTCCAGGAGGTGTTGGTGTCACAGGAGGAAGGGACCATAGCGGAGGATAGAAAGCTTGCGCAGGAAAGGAAGGTCCCGGCGGTTGACGGGGGACTAATCTGGGTATTTAATATTGTGGGGCGCGAGTTGGTCGCAGGACCGATGCATGAGAAGTCAAAAGCGTCCCATTTTTCAACAGATTATGGCAGCATTCACGTCGCAATTTATTACTGGGTGAACTCAAAGAGGTTCCCTTCATCCATTAATTAAAACCCATATCCATTAAACGACGAGCTAGAAGGGAAAATCGCTGGGAGTTCGATCGTGAGTTAAACAGTACATTGAGGAGTGTTCATATTTCTATTTTGACCCGTTCTTTAAAGCTCGGAGAGAAGGTGATCTCTAACTTTATGCGTAATTACACCATTGATGTCACAATCGTGGAAGCTTGTCCAAACAAAATTTGTTGATAGAGCCGATAGACAGGAATTTGCGAAAAAGGGTGTGTTTGTAATGGGTCTCAATAACACGTCACCCTCGATTTTTCTAATCGCCGTCGTTCCCGAAAAAAAATTCTCGAAAAGCTATGCCTAAGTCAAATGAATAAATACATAAATAAACAAATAATTAAGTGAAAATAAGTAAATGCATGAAACTTCAGCATAATCAATGAATGAAATTGGATAATTCCTAATGCCTTGGTGATTGTTTGATGAGCAGAATAGCTTGAGCTTCGTTTGACAGTTTCCTTTAGTGAGTGATATATGTTCAAAAGCTTCGCTAATGAGAATAATGAGTGCGACCCATTATAAAGTGGTTCCCTGGTCAATTCCGAGGACTCAAAGGATAAATGCTCAGACTGGTTCAGGCAATTTATGGATGGAAAATTCAATGCATAATAAAGAAGGACGCATAAAATTTATGAATTGCAGCAGCATGCGGTTGAATTAAGACTTAGAACAAAAAACAAACTCAATCGTGAACTTTCCAGAGATTAAAAATATCAAATTAAAACATTAATGTAAAGTACGGTAACCTTCCAAGTTAACGATAAGTACAAAAATGTGACAATGTAAGTTATACTTGCTCTCAGCGACCGCGTGTTTTAGTTCCAGGCCATGTAATGTCCGAAATGGAGATGGCTTCAACATTCGATAACGCCGCTTATGTCGTTATGGGGGACACGTAAAGCCACTTGAGCGAGCCACTTACGGGACCTAGGACTAAGCCTCAGGGAGATGGAAAGAGTCTGGGGAGGATGTGAGGAATTTTTTTTCACCCTGGCCTTCCTCCCTCCCACCCTCTTCTGGACTTGATCCGAGTGTCACCTCAGGACGGTTTTCATACCCCTCCCCCACCCCACGGTCATGACTGATAACATATGCACATTTTGATGCTCTTGATGCTATCTGATGTCACGTTATTTTACGAACCCTTCAGTTATGTCTAACCAGGTCTTAGGAGCCAGATCACATACTAGATGAATAGGGCAGCCACGCATCTCTTTAATAAAGTTGTAGAGGTGATAAGGGCCAAATATTGTAAGATGCTAACCATCGCCACAAACAAAAATTACGAAAATCTAAGCAAAAAAGTATTCAACAATCAACACCTCAAGTTGTCTCTGTGACATTGCTTGTAAACAGCATAATTTTCTACTGAAAGAAACGTAAATCGATTGTCAAACCTTGGACGTCAAGTTGGGGTGCTGGTTCCTGGATCTGATCGAGGATGCTCTGGATTTCTCCCTCCGGAACCGAATCTGATGCCAACTCTGTATCATTGTCGGCCGGGTCGACATCCTGCTCCTCAAGCGGAACAACACCGTCGATTGTCCCGTCGTCAGCTTCAGGTAGTTGAACTGGCTGAAACTATTTCGACTTCTTTCTTATGTTGCTTATGTTACTGCTGTTTTAAGGCCGCAGTTCGCGTTGCGAATGTTTCACAAGAATGCTGGGTTGTGAACAAAACTTTCGCCCCAGGCGGGACTAGAACCCGCACCTCTCGCTTTCCGGGCAAGTGCGCTACCAGTTACGCTACCGGGGCACCATTTTGCCTTCAGTCCGCTTTTAGAAAGCTGCTGGGTGAGGCCGAACGTGTAATTGGCCGAAATGGCTTCGAACAAATGTCGCTCTCCAGAAAGTCACGCAAAGCCCTTACTTGTTGCAGCGGGTGTTCAAATACCAAAATTCCAATTAAAAATATCAAGAACACACGCCTGTGCCATTTGTGCGCTAATCTATGTCTTCACGATCCTAACAACTTTCAAATGTTTGCTTGGTCTTTGCAATTATACTAATCGAAGGACCTCCGGTATTCCTTTCTGGCGACCTTACCGTGGCGTGCTGTGTGTGTGCAAGGCAATGCTGCGTTACTGTTAGGCTATTTATGGTTCATAATGAGAATATTGCTTTGGCTTGGCTACATATAGCACAATAAGGCGGAGGTGTATGGGCCATAGATCATTCCTGAGCAGGCAAATTGCAAGAAAAGGCGTGGGTTGATAGGAAATAATCCATTCATGATATTTGAATCAGCCAAACGAATTTGAGAATACACTGAGCTTCCCACTCACTTATTCCTGTATTTTATAACTAGTTCCTTATTGGCGGCTGGCTGGCTGTTCTCCGAAACAAACGTTTGAAATTACCGGGTGTTAGACGAAACGACCGTAAAAGAGCTAGACTGTCCCTACAGTTAATGATAACATTAACACTGTGACACCTTCCCGCTCGGGGTTGTTGGCTACTGTACTTAATGACCAAAAATGGGTTACAGTGTGAGTCTCGTGTTGAGGAACTTTGGCTTATACGACCCTTCACCCACCCTCTTCGAGGCTAACACAATCACCCAACTCGACTAGCTGGGCTTCCATGAACCATGTGGTAGTGAGCTCATCCCCGTTCCTCGTTTACTGAAACTA